ATAGTTTAAATATAAATGAGTTTAATATTAACTATTTTTGTCTAAACAAATATTAATATCATATTATATTAGTAATAAAATTGTAACGTTAAGAAATAATATCAGTACCGTAGAGCACTGCATAAGATACCCTGGTATAAATCAATTTTTTCAATTTAAAAATTGATTCATATCCATGGGTATCTTGTGAAGAGCAGGGTATAATAAGCGGTAGGATATTTTAATAGGGGGTATTATAACAGAGCGTCTATTGTAAAAGAGTTATAAAGTATAAACTAATCTTATATAGTCTATACCGATAACTAATACAGCATATAGGCATATATTAAGAGGTAAAGATATAAACTAAATATATGGAGCCTTTGCAATAGAAAGAGGGGAAACAGCCAGAAAAATCAAAAGTGAGTTAATGTTAAATTTGAACATATTTCAGCATAAAAATTATATTTGGCATATAAAAGTAAAATTAATTTTTCCTGGCAGTTTTCCCCCTTTCTATTGCAAAGGCCCTATATATAGTCTATATCAACAACTTATATAGGATACATAGTAACAATACATAACATATTTGAAATATAATAAATAAAACATACATTCAGCGTTTCTCAATTATTTTCTTTTGTTTAAAAAAAATTTCTCCTTGATTTATTTTAAATGATTTAACAATCTTTTTTTAAGAATTTATTGTAAAATTACCTTTTCTTTACATAAGTTACATTTATTTTATCGTAATAAGTAATTAATTGAGTGAAAATTTAATTAATTAGTTTGGCAAATTTTTTTCCTTTTATTACATAAAATCGCATTATTAACCAATATGGTAATTTTAAAGCTGAAATAAAAATGTTTTATAATGTGTAGCATTACTACATTTTTTTCATATTTTTCTTTACATCTTTGGGTTTTGTTTCTTCATTTTTTGTTTCATTTTTTTGCCTTAAAAATAAACTTAAAAAAAATGATGTGTGGAAATTTCAAGGCTAAACATGTGAGAGTTTCAGAAAAAAAGAAAAGGCAATGGTCTGCAAGAGAAAAGTTAATGATAATAACTTACCATGAAAAAGGTCATAGTAAAAGGTCAACTGCAGATAAGTTTGAAATAGAACCTAAACAGCTTCGTGATTAGATTAATAATAAGGATAAGCTTATTAACATGGTCCTTTACGTTTAAAAGTTAAATACAGGTGCATATCTTAAATTCCTCATATTGAAGATGAGCTTATTGAATGGTTTACTAAAGCTAGAGGTCAATTAAAAACAGTAACTCGATTTATAATTCAAATTAAAGCATGTTTATTGGCAAAAAAAACATCATACCAATCAGAATATCCTAATGTAAGAAATGCTAAATTTTCACAAAAATGGGTTGATGGTTTCATATCTCAGCACAAATTATTAAATAGAAGAAAAACCACAATTACATAACATCTTCCTGAGGATTATGCAAAGAAATCATCAGAATTTTTATCTTATGTTATGTATTTGAGAAAAGAGAACCAATATCCATTATTCCTTATCAGAAATATGGATGAAACATCAATGTCATTCAATCTTCCAAGTGATATAACTGTGAAACAATCTGGTTCTAAAACTGTATCAATTTTATCTACTGGTCATGAAAGATCAAATTTTACCGTTGTGTTAGCTTGTTTGACTGACGAGACGAAGTTACCTCCAGTTATTATTTTCAAACTCAAAAAGATTTCCCGTGAAGAATTTTCTGAAGGTATAGTAATTTGTGCAAATTCACAAGGATGGATGAACAAAAAAGAAATGATATGGTGGATTAAAAATATTTGGTCAAAACGTTCACAAAAAGGTAGTAATCCAAAATCTCTCTTGGTATTAGATTCATTTTCCGCTTATAAAACTGAAGTTGTAAAGAAACGGCTTTTTGAAAAAAAAACTAACATAACAATCATTCTGAGTGAACTAACTTTTAAATTACAACCACTTGATGTTTTCTTGAACAAACCTTTCAAAGCAAAGGTTAGAAATCAATATAATCATTGGATGAGTGAGGCAATTAAAGAATATATTTCGTCTGGAAAAATCAAAAGATCTTCTTATTCTCTTGTAGCTACTTGGATAAAGAATAGTTGGGAAGCTATGAATATTAATATGATTTGACATTCTTTTAAGTATTGTGGAATTTTGAACGATATGAATGGATCAGAAGATACTTTAATTTTTAACTTTGATCGATTAAATCAAGAAAACCTTAGAATAGTGAAGCGATTCAGATAATTTGCAGATGTAAATTAATCATTTGCTAGATAAAAAATAATCCAAATGGTTATTATATATCTGCAGAAATATTCATAAATTATGTGCTAAATATTCATAAATGATCAACAGATTACAGATAATTGATAATCCACAAATATTTGCATATCCGTGAATCATCCGTGAATTTCTCTTTTTTTTTTATAAAAATTCTTACCGTTTACAATATAATAAATTATTTTTACAATTCATGGCTTGACATTTTATTTCGACTTAATATTTTATTTAAAATAATATTTTATATTTAGTTTTCATTTATAGTTTCATTTTATTATAATTATATTGGTTATAAAAAAGTATAAACCAAATTTACAATTTTTTTGGAAAAGGATGAATACTTTTAACAAATGATGCATTTTTCTTTAATAACATAAGCCTATTATTAAACAGTTCAGAATTTAAACGCGTTCTTTTTGCTATCAATAAATTTTCAGCATCACTAAATAACCTTTCACTTGAAGTAGAAGTAGCTGAGATAGGAAGATAAATTCTGGCTAATTTTGAAAGAATTGGAAATTATTCTCTGTGATCATGCCACCAAGTAAAAGGATCTGAATCAAAATCCAATTCAGGTAAAGATAAGTAAGTAGTTATTTCATTATCTTGTATGATTTTTCATTTTAAAATTGAAAATAGAGAGGATTGGTTGGATAATAATGTTGAAGGAGCGGCAGGTGTTGTTAAAGGATTAGCTTTAAGTTGATCATATTTGTTTTTTAATAAATTCTGTTTTATTGCGAATTTCATCATCATCAATAAATTCAAGAGACTTAATTTTAGGATCAAGTAATGCTAAAATAAGAGTTCCTTTTTCTTCTTTGTTCCAATATAATTCTATTGTATTATACAAATTAAGTTTTACTTTTTCTAACATTCCAGTAGTATTAAATGATTCATTCAGGTTTAGCCTTTTTTCTAATGCATTTTTTATATTTTCACATTCAGCTTTCTCTTCTTCTTCTTCCTTTGCAAAGACATCAGCAATTTCTTCCATATCTACATATTGAGATCTTATATTTTTTGGTTTTATACATTTTTTAATTTCTTTTAATAATGGACTCATAATACTATGAGTCACATATTTACTTGCACCTAAATAAGTTGTGGCTTCAGCAAATTCTTTCAAAATTACACACAAGTCTTCTAGCAACTTCTATTCATTTTTAGTTAGCATAATTTCAGAAAGTCGTTGGCCATTTTTTCTTAAATCTATATCATTAGAAATTGGTAAAGTTGTTATAAGGATATTAATATATAGCTTAATTTCTAAAGGTCTCTTCCAGTCCAAAAACCTTGAATTCCATCAGGTAGCAATATCTGCAATACAATGACGCAGGTATGTGCTTGTTTTTCCAGGATTCTAAAATAATTTAGTAATAGTTATTTTTATTTTTTAAAAAATTCAATGTTTTTGAAATACATGTCATACCAGCTGACTTTCAATATTTATTTGAATATTTTTTAACCTTTTTGATTGTTTAGGTCTTATGAAGAAGTCAATTAATCATTTAGCTCTTAATACAAGCAATTTTACACATACTAGCCCTTTTCCTACAACTAGTTGTAGTGTATGTGCAGTACAAGGTTATCAGGTAATATTTGAAGAAATTTTATTCATATCTTTAATTGCTCTTTTCATATTCACGTCATTGTCTGTAGTAATTACATTAACCTTTTCTCTTAACATCCATTGATCTAATAATTCAAATAGGATATCACTAATATGATC